CAGATAACACAAAAAATTGAATGTGATATCAGTGCTGCAACAACTACTAAAATAAGGAGACTTCAGTGATTTGATCAATGTGCCATATCACAGTAAGAGCAACCGCATTTGAAACCCTCTGACTTTTTCATGCAGCCCTAACCAACTGAGTTGCTCCAAAAAATAAATAAAACAAAAAAAATCACCTGAAGACTTCAAATGAGCTCTTTTGCCGCCGGGATGCCCACAAAAAAATCAATGAGAAATTTGTCATTAATCGGCTTTCATCCAAGTTGGGTACACTATTATCCACAGATTTTATACCACATTGAGAGAGAGAAGCATCACCATTGTCTCTGTCACATAATCTATGAAATGTAATCTTTATTTTTTTTTTTCAGAAAACATTTTAAGCAAAAAAGAAACCATGTATAAAACCAGTTTGTATCATACCTATTTAATATCTCATCTTCACTAAATGTTTGGGCAAAACAAAGAGCTGTATGAAGCCCAATGCCTTGAACCTCATTTTTTTTTTTTTTAGTATATCGATATATTTTTACACTAGGGGGAGTTCGGTTAAGTAACACAATATGTAACCTAATTTCGCATCGAATTCGCCATCCACAAGATTCAAACCTAAGACCTCTCACTTTCAAGTGAAGAGGAACACTACCAGATCGTAGTACTGAATGACTAAACCCCACTTAAATCGTGGTCATTTTCAGCCAAAAGGAGAGAAAGCAATCAAGTGGTTCCTCTTCAAACCAAGACCAGCTTCGATATCTGACATATAGTAACATTCAAATGGTTCCTGCATACCGATGAGATTCTCTTAGGGCTAGTTTGGTATTGCTGTGCTTTGAAAAAAAGCTGCTTCTGCTGTGCTGTGAGAATAAGCAGCTGTGAAATAAAGCAGCAGAGTGTTTGGTAAACTTTTTTGTAAAAGTGCTTTTGAAAATAAAAAGCAGGATTATAGTGTTTAGTAAAATTTTATGTAAAACAGATGTGAAAAAAAGCCAGTTTTTCAAAGCTAGGTTTTGCAGCTTCTTGTTTTTGGCTTTTTTTCACCCAAAACTGTGAAAAAAAGCTGAAGCTGAATGTTTACCAAACACAAAAACAGCTTCCAGCTTTTTTTGATACCAGCTTTTTTCAGAATCACCTCAGTACCAAACCAGGCCTTAGTGCCTACATATAATAAGGAATGGCAAGAGCAGAGAGATGAAAAGCTTTTATTACACATTTAGCCTCAAAGAGGAACGTATCACTGTCAAATGTAATCCAAGCATTTAACTTGGCAGGGTGCTTCAACCTCTCCCTTTACTTTTAAAACTGGCATCCCAAGAAGTTTAAGTTGTTCCTTTAAACCACCTTAAGTAAATAACTGATAAGCATTCCAAATGGCCCACCATCCAAAGTTTATACATTTTGCACAAAGAAATATTACGTATTCTTACAGGGCTAAACTGATCATAGAATTTAATAAGATGAACAAATGTTGAAAAAAACAATTAATGTACAGGATTCCTGAGCTTTTGCTCTTCAACGTGTCAAAATTCAAAAAATTAAAAATAAATTCAAGATTACCGATCAAATCACATAAATAAAAGAAAATTCACAGCAAAACGGAAAATAAAAGGGGAAGCTTACTTCGCATCAACTTTTCTGAGAGCAACAGCCGGTGATTTCGGACCCGGTTTCTTTACCCTCCCACTTCCTATACACTTTCATTCCCTTCTATTTTGTGCGGTCACGATTAAGCCACGTCAACATTTTATATTGATTTTTTTTATAGACATAATAAGATAAAAAAGCAATAGTGATATAAAATATTGACGTGGTTTAACCATCGCACAAATATGAAGGGATGAGAACGTATAGAAAGTGAGAGAGCAGAGAAGCCAGGTCCGGTGATTTCCCCATGTTCAACTAAATCTGCACAAAAAAACATAAAGCAGAGAGAATAAAAAAATAAAAAATTGTTTCCAAGATGTGAACAAAACTATGATGATTCAATGCAGCAGCAGAGTTACACAGAGAGAATTCAAAGTCTTGTTATTGGTGGCATATTATCTTTGAACCTTGATTATGGTTATGGAACATGCACCTAAAAACTCAACAGAAAAAAAAAAAAAAAAAAATTAGAAACAAACTAAAACATGGGATGGTGAACTTCGTACTTTGGAAAGGATAGACGCATGTGGAATCTACAATGCAGAGAGCTCTTCGAGATCGGTCCAAACTCCGCTGTCAATGACGGAAGGAGAAGCCAAGGAGGATAAAGAAAGTCAAACACAACTACTTTGAGTTATGTGTGGGGCCCTTCAGTATATAACCTAGGGTTAAGGTATTTATTATCTGTCCGCTTGTCTGGATATAACTTATATCACACGAATTTACTATTATATAGTGTTATGGTCAGTAATATATATATTTTTTCACATAATATTCATACATTTTGAGAATGGAATGCACCTGACAAATTAATCAATTTAGAGCTTCTCTCGTCTTCACTTGTTCGGCATGCCGTTCCTCTTATAGAGATTCTTCCTCTTTTGCACTCAGATTTCCTGGGCATGTCAACTACAGGTTTGTCTCCCCTTCTTGATTTGTGATTTTCTTTTTTACTTAATTTTTTTGGATTTTCCTTTTTGTTTTGTAGTTTGTCTTGTAGATTCTCACCTTTTAGGTTTATAGAGGTGTTTGGGCTTATGTCCACCCAATTTTTTCTTGTATTTTCTTTTTCAAGAGAGGTAAAGTCTATGTCCCTCAATTTTTTTGTATTTTCTTTTTCAAAATAGATAAGGTGTATGTCCTCCCATCTTTTCTTGCTCTATGAAGGGCAATGTTTATGTCCCCTTAAATCTCTAACTAATGTAACTTTTTTTTTCATATCAATAAATTTTATTCATACTGTAGAGGTTTTCTTACAAAATATATTTTATATTATTCGATCGTAATGCTGACGACAACTCGTCTACGTAAATTTTTCCCATTTGTTTGAAAAAGAAAAGAACCATGCATATATGCATGCATGTCTTAATCACTGATCAGTGTGTTATGGAGACTTTATGAAAAGTGATGGAGTCATATCCTACTTTATGCTCAATCAGTGTTGGTGACTTGGTGCTGTGGGCCTGGCTGTAACGTAAAATGATCGGCATGCATTATCTTGAGTACATAATAAGTCAAAATCTTTTTCGGATTTTCTTCTTGAAAATTCTAGAAATTTGTGAATCGTGTTCATTTATTGTTTATCATGTGATTAATTTTCGTTAGATATTGTTTGTGTGTTTAATTATAAATAAAAAATTTTAAATGATTTTTGACTTCACAATGTATAATAAACAGACACGATTCACGAATTTTCAAGATCCTCACAAAGAGAATCTAAAGAGGATTCGGATTCCATAATAAGAGCATCTCTACCGATCACCAAATTGCAAAGGCAATCGGGTTGAGTTACCTTTCATCCCAAAAAATACTTCTCCAACAATTCACAAAATAGGAGGCAATCGGGTTGAGTTGCCTTTCATCCCAAAAAATTACTTCTCCAACAATTCACAAAATAGGAGCCAATTAGGTTGCAGCTGTCCATTCAACAATTGCGAAGGGCTTGCGCCCTATTTGAAGCCCAGCAGACAGGAAACCTAGTGGGGAGCGGTATACCGAAAAAAAGAAAAGCGTTCTTGGAATTGAACTGAGTTGTTATAATTTTGTTTTTTATTGTCCAACCCGTGAGTTGTTCACCAACTCTCCTAGTTTCTCACCCACGTTGTTCTCTGTGAGCCTTTGATTTAAAAAAATAAAAAATTCAATTCAACGGTTAGGATTAATCCGACTCTAAAAAATTTTAAAAATTACAAAAAAACAAAAAATAAAAAAATTATTAAAAAAAACTTACAAAGTTCACATTTTAAAAATCTTACAAAATTCAACACACATGCACATTAAACGTTTAAAATTACCTAAAAAACTACGGTGAAAAGATAATGATATGTGGGGATAAGACAAAGACAATATTAAAAATATTAAAAAAACTATGTTTGTGAATAGTAATCGCCATTGCCCTTACTCTTCTTCCTTCCAAATTGGTGGACTTGCACAAAGGCAATCACTATTTGGAGTGAAAAGTAAGGGCAATTTTATTGCCCTTGCCTTTCAATTGTCATTGCCCTCAACCAACTAGTGGAGATGCTATAATATTCCACCATTCTTGAAATGTATCTTCACCATATAAACTTAAAATTACTCTTCTTCCTTCCAAATTGGTGGACTTGCACAAAGGCAATCACTATTTGGAGTGAAAAGTAAGAGCAATTTTATTGCCCTTGCCTTTCAATTGTCATTGCCCTCAACCAACTGGTGGAGATGCTCCAATATTCGACCATTCCTTAATGTATCTTCACCATATAAACTTAAAATCAAAACTGTTCAATTTATGAATATTCATAATTGAACGGTTTTGATTAGGACATTATATGGTGAAGATACATTATTTGAGAATGGTGGAATATGTGCATTTTCTCATGTGGGGAACACAAGTATTATCCTTATATATAATTGGATAAAACTTGCATCCACATGTGGGGATGAACATATTCTCTCATAGTCTCATTTGAGAATAACGTATCTTAACCGAATAAAATCAACTATTGGAACCATTCAATTTATTAATCTTCTTTTGAAGAGCAATCCTACAAATACTCATTTGAATTGGAGATCATTGAATCATCCAAAAGTATCAAATAAATAGACGGTTCGTTATGAATATATTACTTGGTACCTGTATCGTCGATTTATTCATTACATTTGAATGACTTAGGAGTCAGGTCACTCAATTTATTGCCAAGTCTTTCCACTCGTTGATTCTAGTCTGCTTCGACGTTAACTCAGGAGTCGGGTCAGTCACGCGTCGCGTGCATTAACATTGTTATAAACTTGTAACTTAGAAACTTTAGCAAAACTTGAACAAATTAATCGTCTTATCAAAATCCCTAGGTTTTTCCATGCAAGGTGACATGATCCCTTTCTACGTTCTCTCCTTACTTCTTATTGCATTGCCCAGTACTACCACAGATGTCATCAACGATCCCTACACAAGAAGCTCCCGCCGCACCCTCACCGTCTCTTTAAATGCCACCACACCGTCGTCACTGCCACCTAATCAGCCTATGTCTGCGTTGCCACCGGTGAAGGTTGTGAGGGCGTTGGCGACGGCGTCGGCGAAGGCAACGGCAACGGCATCGGGGAAGGCAACGGCGACGGCATCGGCAAAGGCAACGGCGACGGCATCAGCGCCGGCAACAGCAAAGGCGTCGGCGTCAGCAACAGCATCTGTGACTGCGTCGGCACCGGTGTCGGCGTCGCTGCCGCCGTCGCTGCCGCCGTCGCTGCCAACCTTCATGACAAACAGATCTGGTAAATGATGATATCCTTCAAGCTTTCTAGTACAATTCTTGTGACTGATAAAAATTGCTCGTATATAATTTCATATGCCACAAATCAACGTGTTGAGTTTCATCTCACGACGTAAAAATATGAATCGTTCATTTATATACTCTCCTTTAAGGATGATTCTTACAGCAAATAATCAAAATAAAAATCGATTAGCTCTTTGATTATTGTTAGGTAGCCCCACCCAGAGATATATATTTATTATAATTTTGTATTCATACAGGAAGAAGCAAACCCTCATCGATGATAATCATCGTTGGTACTCTTGGTTCAGCTGCTTTCTGTTCGTTAGTTGTGGGATGCTTCTTTCGCAAGAGACTCAGAACAGTCAAAGAGAGATACCACTCCAAACGACAAAAGAAAAAAGGTAATTAATTAATAAAAAGATTTGAAAAGTACTGATATATTACTTCAATTTCTTAATAAATTTTTTATTTCAGATATCTAATATTTATGAGTCAATGTTTGTAGTTGGTAATGATATGAAGAAGACTGTCGAGTCATTGCAATTTAGATTGGAAACTATTGAAACTGCCACGAACAAGTTTTCAGATGATAACAAATTAGGTGAAGGAGGATTTGGTGCCGTTTTTAAGGTATGAAAATATTTATTTGCATGAGATCCTTCGCTCCACAAAATTATGGAGGCATTCCCACGCGAAAATAGTTCCTGATCATCGCTATGTGAAAAAATATTCATGCAAAAATTTAAAAAAAAAAGTGATCGTTTACGCATCGAAGTGCATAAAATCAAAAGTGAAAATAGGTGTGTGTGTGTGTATACTATGAATCATTTATCTATTTACTATAATTGATTGACTAAATAACTTTAAATAGTTTTGATGACATATTATACTACATAATTAATAGTATTTACAACGCTTACTGCTTAATTAGTTCACATTACATATTGTAGGGCACACTTGGTAATGGACATGAAATAGCAGTAAAACGGCTATCGAAAAGCTCCACACAAGGTGTGCAAGAATTTCAGAATGAGGTGGTATTGGTGGCGAAACTTCAACACAGAAACCTTGTGAGGCTTCTGGGATTTTGCTTGGAAGGAGAAGAAACCTTACTTGTCTATGAATATGTACCCAACAAAAGTCTTGACAATTTTCTATTTGGTTTGTGAATATCATTTGACCAAATATTTTCCTTTGTTAATTACAATATATATATATATATATATATGTGTGTGTGCGCGCGCGCGCACGCGCGCGTGTATGATTGGCTGTAAATTTTAGCTTGCCTTTGATAAATGTTATCCATGCAGAACCCAACAAACGAGAGCAGCTGGATTGGTCGAAACGTTGCATGATAATAGGAGGAATCGCTCGAGGAATTTTATATCTTCATGAAGATTCTAGGCTTAGAGTTATACATCGTGATTTAAAAGCTAGCAACATCTTGTTAGATGACGAAATGAATCCAAAAATATCAGATTTTGGGATGGCTAAAATGTTTGGAGTTGATGGTCAAACTCAAGGAAATACCGAAAGAGTCGTCGGAACTCTGTAAGTTTCAACTTATCTAACCTTCGATCCTATTTAAGTTTCAACTTATATACCTTCACATATAGAATAGGACGATTCAACTGTACCTCATTAAAAAAATAAATAAAGTTACCAGTACCCTATAATATAATAATATTTTAAAATTATCTTAGGCCATTGATTAAGTTCAACAAATGATCTTAGTGTTAGATGCGGTTTGTTTTAATAAAAATTTGAGGATTATCTAAGACTATTAATTAAGCTCAAGGAATTATCTTAATCATAAACGTTAAGAATTATCTTAGACCATAGATTTAAGTTTAATGAATTATCATATACCATTGGTTAATTTTTTTTTTTTATAAACGTGTAAATTACCAAGGGTTAGATTACCACGTGTAAATTACCATGGTTAGGTTACCAAGGTTGTCAGTTACGGTGTGGATATTAGATTATATTATCAATGTTGTATATTACAATTGTGTTGAACGTTATTTAATTACAATATTTATGTTAAAATTAAAGAGTACTCGTATCTTATTGTTTTAATAAAGTACCATAGACTAACCCTAAAATATATTTGTTTTTTCTAACTAAAAAGTCTCAACGCATTAATTTTGTACATGCAAGTGGTTATATGGCTCCAGAATATGCAATAGAAGGAATATATTCAGTAAAATCAGATGTCTTTAGCTTTGGTATACTCCTGCTTGAGATCACCACGGGAAGAAAGAACTTTTTAGGCTTTAACTGCCGTTTTCCTACACTTCTAGCACACGTAAGTATTTAATAACTTGGTATAAGAATTATTTATATATACATCATTATTCCCAAATTATTATTTGGCTAAGCTATCAAATATTAGAGTAGTATACTATTTTATAATTACATCCTTAAAAATTTATTGTTTTACAGGCTTGGCAATCATGGAATGAAGGAAAAGGGTTGGATTTGATAGATCCAATACTGTCGAAAGATTCGTGCAAGCCAGATCAAGTTTTGAGATACATCCACATTGGACTATTGTGTGTTCAAGAGGATGCAAACAGTAGGCCGACCATGTCATCAGTTGTTTTAATGTTGAAAACTGAAACTATTGGCCTTCCCAAACCTGAACGACCGGCATTTTTTACAGGAAGATCTGCAAATATGCAGTATCCAATAGCTGCTAATAGTCGCACCATCAATGGTTTAACAATTTCTGATGATCTTCCCCGTTAAGGATAAATTATAAATTATATGCTTGTATATACAGCCTATATCTCGCATTCAACCCCTATATACATACTTCTCGTTCAAGTGATATTTTTTGTGAGACTGATAATTGATTATGAAGTTAGGCAATTAAATTGTTGAACCTTTTTATATTATTTATTGTTAGAGTGAAGTTGGCAATTCTTAATATAACGTCTGAGTTTGTAATGTTTTAGACTAGTGTATGTTTTCGGTTTAATTATTTTAATCAAAGTTTGTCTTTCGTACTTTTAATCACATAATGTCAAACTTCGACAAAAAAATCACTTAATGTCAAACGTTTCAGAGACTTCAACTCGAGTAAGCATGTCATTCATATATATAGGTAGGTCTTACTTGGTCTTTAACTAGATCTGATTTTGAGCTTAATGTTGAGTGGTTAGAATATTTTTGGAGCAGCCCAATATATCTATTAGTTTCCATGTTATATGGAAAGTTCGTTTGCAGCTAATTTGATAATTTTTTTTGTACATTTATAAAGTTGATAATTTCAAGTGTTTTTGAATTTAAACTTATCATGTGCATGCTTATCCTCACATTTGTTTTTATCTGCATAAAAGAAACCTCAGCACAGTACGTTATAAATTTAAGCGTTACGTGAGGTTTTTGGGTGGTTGCTACGTATATCAGAATTGTTGTATAATCGACAGTATGTGTGCATTGGAATATAAAGTAAATAAGATACAATATTTACGAGATTCGGCAAGTGTGCCTACGTCCTCGGGGCAGCAATAGTATTTTCTTTCATTACGTGAAATAATGGGTGTGGAGCCAAAATAATCCAGAAAATTATATGGATAGCGTGAAAAAAGACAAAATTACCCTCATCGAATTTTCACTAAAAAGGTAACTCCCAATTGTGGATGCAAATTTTCGCAGTTTTCTCCTTTGACGAAAATGCACCTGCAAAATAATAACACTTAAGATTAAGGCCAAAAGCCTCACGTACCCACGATGAATTGGAGGGCGGAGAGAGCTTTGGCCAAAGAATCTCCGATACCAAAGTTAGAATTTGAGAGAGAAAGTGTTAAGGAATTTTTTATTGAAATCTTTGGGGACATTTTGGATGTGGTCTCTAACTACTAATGTTCTTTGACTGAAATATTTGTTGTAACATCCCACATCGCCCAAGGGAGTGGATCCTCTAAGTCTTATATGTATATTCTCATCTCTGCCTAGCAGGAGGCATTTTGAGAGCTCACTGACTTTGGGTTCTATCGGAACTCCGAAGTTAAGCGAGAAAGGGGCGAGAGCATTCCTAGGATGAGCGACCCACTGGGAAATTCTGATGTGAGTTCCCATAAACAAAACTGTGAAGGCGTGGTCGTGGCCCAAAGCAGACAATATCGTGCTAGGGTGGAGTCGAGCTTGGGATGTGGTGGGGGTCCAGGCCGGGATGTGACAATTTGGTATCAAAGCAATCCTTGGGCGGAAGTGTGTCGATGAGGACATCGGGGCCCTAAGGGGGGGGGTGGATTGTAACATCCCACATCGTCCAGGGGAGTGGATCCTATAAGCCTTATATGTATATTCCCATCTTTACCTAGCACAAGGCTTTTTGGGAGCACACTGGCTTCGGGTTCCATTGGAACTCCGAAGTTAAGCGAGAAATGGGTGAGAGCATTCCTAGGATAGGTGACCCACTGAGAAGTTCTCATGTGAGAATCATAAACAAAACCATGAGGGCGTGGTCGGGGCTCAAAGCGGACAATATCGTGTTACGATGGAGTCAAGCCCGAGATGTGGTGGGGGTCCGGGCCAGGATGTGACATTATGGTTTTTAGTTTTTTATCGAAGTCCCTGATATTAATATAATAATGTAGGTTATTATTTGTTTAAATTAAAAATGAAATTTGTAGTTATTTATATTAATGAGATTATAAATAAAACCCATAATTTACGAGATTAAAAATATTAAGGATAAATTATACTCTCCGATGTATTGTGTGTGTACACATGGGTACGTTCATCAAAACTAACCAAAAAATTATTGTACCAAAATATGGGTGAATTTTTCCCATATATATATATATTAGGCTTAATAACATTATTAAATTTATTTGATTAAACTTGACATGGATATATTCTCAAATCAACGAAATAGAATGTACCCATATAAGTTTAAAAAATGAATTAGACATAAGATTGAATGAATTTTATATAAAAAAATGGGTACAATTTATATTTAAAAAAAAGGTATATTTTTCATATAACAAATTGGTATTTAAGAATGGGTACATGTAAGATTAAAAATTTGAAATTTTTTTATAAATATTTTAAGGGTACAAACTTATTCTAATTTTATTTTTTATATTTTGGAAATGTTTGAATTGAAAATTATTTAGGAGCTTAACAAGGGTGTGAGTATTAAAACTCTAAACCAATTACTAATTTTTATTAATGCTAGGGAATTTGATCAAAATATAAAAACTAATAAGGTCTTAGTCGATGAACAATAGAAACTAGGGACCAGATACTAATTTTTTTTTTTTTTTTTTAACATTTATCAAGTTGATAATTTCAAGTGTTTTTAAATTTAAACTTATCATGTGCATGCTTATTCTCACATTTGTTTTTCTCTACAAAAAAGAACCCTCAGCATAGTGCCTTATAAATTTAAGGGTAATCTCAATTTACTACCTTTAAGTTTCGTGGATTTCAACATTTAGTACATGAAGTTTTTTTCGTCCCAGAGTCATACCTAAAGTGTTAATTTGGGACAGTCTCATACATCTGTTAGTCTGGCTGTTAAGTTTCCTGTTAACTGATGACGTGGCTCCTATGTGGACAATGAGCCATGTGTCATTAAGGGGTCCAGGTGAAAATTCAAAATTCAAAATAAATAAATAAATAAATAAATAGAAGGATTAAAAATATAGAAAAATTAAAAAATAAAAATAAAAAATCAGCCATAGGGATTTGGGCTTTCCTTTTTCTTCGCCCTTACGACCCCTCGTTCTTCCTTTTCTTTTCGACAGCCACCAAAGCCAATTTCCCTATTCTCTTTTCCCAAATTGGCACCATCGTCTGGCTTCTCTCTCTTTCTTCTCTATCGACAACAACAAGAAGACAGCAGAATCGAACTTCTCCCTTTTTTTTGTCAACGGCAGCAAGAAAAGGGGCAGCGTCATCGTACATGGATGCCACTGATGGGAATGGGGTGCTGAAGAATCTGAAATGTCCCCCCCCTCTGTTTGCGGTGTCCCCTACTTTCTACATGCCGAATTCGGTGCCGAGGCTGTGGACGGAGGCAAGCTTCTTGGAGCACGTGGTGTTAGTGGAGTTCACATAGCAGCTTCTGAGTCTACAGATTTGAGGGGGAGGTTGTAGATTGAGGAGGAGAAATCGAGCAGCAAAAGAAGCTACCAAGACAAAATCCAGTCACACCGCACCTGTAAATTTTATGTTTTCATAGTGATGGAGAATCCGAATCGGGAATCCAGGTTGGTTATGGAGTGATTAAGGGAGGGATGGGTCGGGTTGGGAGGTGGTGACAGAAGGATGAGTGCGAGTGGGATAGGGGCGGAAGAAGGAAATCGAATGAGGAGAAGGACGAAGGAGGGAGACCGAGTTGGCGAGGACGGATGAGGAAGAAGGGCTCTGGGTGATGATGGATGGTTTAGGTTCAGGTTTAGTTTTTTAAATTCTAAATTTTTTAATATTCATATGGGCTCATATTGACACGTGGCTCTCAATCATTGTCCAGATGGGCGCCGTGTCATCAGTTAACGACAAACTTAATAGCCAACTTAACAGATGTATGAGACTGTCTCAAAATTAAGACTTGAGGTATGACTTTGGGACAAAAACAACTTTATGTACCAAATGTTGAAAACCACGAAACTTCAATGTACTAAACTGAGGTTAACCCCAAATTCAAAGTGTTACGTGAGGTTTATTGGTGGTTGTTGCCTATATCAAAATAGTTTTTTTTTTTTTCCTTGAGTTTTAAGGAGTAGTATTGGTGATAAAAATTAGAGGAGTAAGTGCGAGAAGAGGAAGGAGTATGGTAGACAATTGTGGGGGTTCGAACCGCGCATACATAAGATTCTAATGGTAATATTAGAATTAGTAGTTGGAAGGGATATAAACATGTTTGCATATACTTTGAGATCTCTTACGCCAAGAATCATCCAAATAACATTCGGAGATAAGGTAATGGGACGAAATCATTCGACGGTTAGACATGAAAATTCACGATTTAATGGTCATTTTAGCTCCATTTTTTTGTCGATTTTTTTACAAATACAATCATCAAGCCTAGAAGAATATGATGAACGGATCGGTCATCAATTTAAATATTTAAACTAGTGGATAGAACAAAAGCTTACATTCTACTTAATGGAAGTATAAAGTAAACTCTTAAGTGTTTTGGAACTCATTCTTTTGACGGGACAAACATTCTACAAAACTAGTTTCCTTGATCCAACTGTCAAACATGACTGCATATACTTTGAGATCTCTGGCAATAAAAATCTCCACAAAAAAATATTCAGAGATAGGGGATGAAATCATTTGATGTTTAGAAATGAAAATTCATAATTTAACAGTCGTTTGAGCTTCGATTTTGTTGATTTTTACAAGTACAATCCTCAACCCTAGAATAATAGAATGACAAAACCCGTTCATCAATCAAACATGTGGATACAACAAAAGCTTACATTCTACTTAATGGAAGTATAGAGTAAACTGTAAATGTTTTGGAATCCATTCTTTTGATAGGACACGCATTCTACAAAACTAGTTTCCACAATCCAACCGTCAAACATGTTTGCATATACTTTGAGATCTTCTAGGCCAAAAATTGCCCAAAAAAACATTCAGAGGTTAGGTAACGGGATGAAATCAATCGACGGTTAGAATGAAAAATCACAATTTAACAGTCATTTTAGCTCCGATTTGTTGGCCCGTCACACAAAATTTATATTATTTTTAATTTTTGGTTTCTTAGAGTTGGTCTTTCATCGAGTCAAGTTTATTACATTATTTAATATTTTGTTGACAGACGAGATGCTCTTGTCAGGCAAGAAGATTCCTTCAAGTCAATTCAGTCAACGCACGTTTGCCCGACGAGTATATTAGTCAAGCTAACTCTGTTTTGCCCAATAGACTTGTA